CATGTCTAGGGCATTAAGTGAAAAGAAAAACAAGCCTGTATCCACAGAGATGCTACTGCAGTGTTATTTGTAGTAATCAAAAATCAGGAACAGCCTAACACCCAGGAGCAAAGTGTGTGTCAGCCATAAAGCATTAGGCAGCCGTCAAAAAGAGCTGGCAAGGACCGTGGATGGGGGAGGGCTTTTGAAGGCGTAAGTGGGAGAGGAAAGCAAAAGGAAAAGAACTGCCACCGGGTTGGGGGTGTGGAAGGGGTCGGGAGGGGGGGTGTCGGGGGGAGGGGGGGAACTTGGTTTTCTTTCATTTTCCCTACATTGTGAAATAGCTACCAGGAAATTCTTAACCTGGAGTTCTGGGCCCCCTGCTGGTCAAAGGCAGTCTAAACGCCCCCAAGCTGCAATTAACGCTGTGTGTGTGTACTTTTCCACTTCCGGAACAAGTTCCGAAATGACATTAATCTTCTACTCCAGGTAGACACCCCGGAAAGCTGCATCATTTTTTGACAGGAAAGCAAAAACCCACGAGGCTCTAGCACTCTCTCCCTCCACAGCAGACGACTCCAGATGCAGACGGTCGGCGCTGCCTGCCTCCCCAGCCCGCGCCACTCTCCGTGGAGGGGCTGTGGTGCCTGAGCCTGATTTAAGAGCAGGAGGCAGGAAGACTGTTTGCGCCTGGCTCAAGGCCGCCTTGCTTGATTTTGTACCTCTTCACTATTTTTTTTTTTTTTTTTTGCATTTTTTCAAAAGGGAGGAGCTCCCCTGGCTGTCTCCCCATCTGCCCAGTGAAATGTGAGAAAAGACACGGTGGAATAGGTACCTGCAGGTTCAGGACACCTGCACTTCTTCCTGCTCCTGAGCCACAGCACTCAAAGGTGTCAGGCACCTGTCTGCTTGGCTGTCTCAGAGTCCCGAGCAGGTTGTTCTTTGGGTCTCACTCCTGCCCTAGGAGGCCTGGTGGGTGGGCCCCGTTGCTGCCCAGAGCGGACTCTCCAGGATGAGGAGACGCCAGCCCCAGGCCAGTACCAGGCTCAGCGTCCACGCGCGCGCACACACACGGCGGGGACGCTTTTATCATGCTTCCACCCTGGAGCTAAACCGGGTGTATGGCTCTTTCCCACACACCAGGGGCTCGCTTTTATTATTCCCAAATCCTGCTTCAAGTTCAGAGTTCTTCAGTTAGAACTCTGACCAAAATTAATCATTTTGTAGCTGACCCCAAAAATGATAGCTGTCACAAACAGCTGGTCATAGTTCCAGGTTTTAAATTACTTTATATGGCCTGGGCACTCCTGTTTCCTGCCACACCAGGCAGGCCTGGGAGGCCACTGTTCCCAGTCTGCATGAGACCCCACCCGCCTGCAGTGCTCCTGAGCTCCCGGAGCCCTGGGGGACCAGGGTCGGGGGTATCTGGCAGGGCCTAAGTCTACCTGACCAGCATGTGGCAGTCAATATCCCCCCCAAAACCTACTTCTTTATTTGATAAAATTTCATGTGTGATAGACAATTTTGAACTTACAAAAAACTATAGGTGTACCTTCTTATGGGAGATTTTTGTGCGACATATTAAGTGAAAAGGAAGAATCAATCAGCTTCCAAACAGAAGCTGAAATCCTAGCAACACCTGGGGCCCAGACATCTCTCCAGGTGGCAACACCTGCTTACCCACGAAGGCACCCTCCCGACGTGGGAGTGCCATCCTCTCAGCAACCAAGCTAGCACTTGCTGTTCACACCTAGGTTCAGCCATCAAGGGGGAACGCAGCCCGTGTTAACCATCAGCAGAGCCCTGCTCGAGAGGCCATGGCCTGACCTGGGGTCTCTGTCAGACCCCCACATGTATCAGCTCCCCAAGAACTTGGAAATTCTGTAGTCAGATTGGGGTGCCCCCTGTTGAATGGAGAATATGTTAATGGAACCTTCCACAACACAGATGGTGGGTCTGCCCGGTCCTGCGTCCTTAGCAGAACGAGTCCTCCGGAAAGATTGGTCAGTTACTGGTAGGCACTCCAGTCGCGGGAACTTTGAGAATTCCTGTCCTAGCTGGTGTTGGAAACCTTCCCAGGAGGAAGAATTCTTACTCCCAAAAGGAACCTGTTAGTGACCAGGAAGTGGCAGGAAACAGGGCTATCTCTAAGAAAAAAAAGAGGCAATTTTCTTCCAAGGAGAAGCCACTCAGTAGTGGACCTGAAGAAGCAAGAGCAGCAACTCCAAGAAAAATTAAAAATTGCCAAAAGTATCCCGGGCATCCTCCCCTCATGAGGTGTAGCCCATCATGATATTTCTAACCCCAGTCCCTATACCCCAATAAAAAACAATAAAGATCACAAAGAGAGAGAAACTCCTCTACCCCTTTCTCTTCACTGAATGCATGTGACAAAGAAGCTTCAAAATGTCCCTGGCAGGCTGCCTTGCTGATTTCTGTCTCTTTCCTGTGTCCATTTGTGCCGTGAAATGCTTTCTAGTCTCAGTAGCCATTACTGAATGCTGCATTTGTGTAAGTTGTTCCCATGTCATGGAGCTCCAGAGACTTCTTCAGCCCTGACCCTTCATCTTCACATGTACATGCTCAACTCTGGGTCAGTATCTAAGATCTTTGCCTTGGCTGATGGCACCCCAAGGGATGCGGGCTGTCTGCTGCCAGCTCTGGCCCGTGTCTTTCCAAATTCTTCAACCTGTAGTGAATAATACAGATCACGTGACACTCCTGCTCTTCTCCTCACTTTGGCACTCGGTGCAGACTCCTCTTTCATTATCACTTGTGTAAGATCAAAATGCAGGCACAGGCACCTGCAGAATGAGTGACATCCTGACCCACAAGGCTAAGTCTGCTGGTGTGGGGCTGAGCCACTGCCAGCTGCACCCCTCACCCCGTGGCTCCTGCTAGACACCTGGCGAGCCCGTCCTGCTGGTCCACACACACCCTGGTAACCCAGGCAGCTGCAGCCCCAGACTGGAGGGAGTGGGCAGAGGATCTTGACCCACAAGAAACACCATATCCGAGGCTGCCAAGAAACAAGATCTAATCACCCATGGCTTCAGATTCTTGTTTAATCTGGGAGGCTTTGTCCCTGCATCCCACAGCAACCAGCCCTGACCTTTTGGAGGGCAGTGAGACCACACTGGGTTCTAGTGAAACCTGCAACCTCTGGAGCTAACAAATGAATAGTAGTGCTCATCACTATAACAGCCAACAGGCACAGAGTGTTCATGTGTGCTGGACACTGGTCTTAGTGTGCATGTTTTAGTGATCCCTTTAGCCCCCACTAGCCCATGAGAAGGGAGAGCTAATATTCCCGGTTGACAGGGGATCATGCAAAAATAAAGGACTAACCTGTGGCAACCTGTCTCCATCCTCTCCACGGGCTGAAAGCAGAGCACATCTTTGGAAAGTACAAAACAAACAAGAGTAAGATTGGCACCCTGTCCATGAAAATCCACCAGGTGCCAGGTGTGCCCGGGAGTGGATATCAGCCCAGACGGGCACCAGGGCTCGCACCCTTTAGAAGTCTGCAAAAGCAGTAGACTCAGCACTGCGATGGGGAGGGCTGGTGCACGAGGGCGGGAAAAAATAGCACCACGTAGGCAGCCTTCTATGTCTGCAAATAGCCTAAATAAAATATTCACAAATTTAATTCCAAAGCTCATTAAAGTGATAATAAGTCATGGCCAAGTGGGATTTACCCCTCAGGAATGCAAGAATAATTCAAATTAGGACCTGTGTTAATGTAATTTTCCGTACCTATAAGACAAAGAAGAAAAACCACATAATTACCTGCAGAGAAGCTGAAATGGCATACCTACAAATCCAGCAACTCTTCCTGATTATATTTTTAAAACATTTAACAATGAGTAGATGTTTTCTTTATTATGGTCAACAAAAAAAGTATATCTTAAATCAAAAATGAGTATCAAACTCTATATGAAACCCCAGGAATAGTCTCACTATGCATATTTCGTGTGTTGGTGTGTGTCTGGGGTGTGGGTAGTATGAGTTCAGTGTGTGTGGACCTTCTTTCACGCCTCCAGAACTGTGGGAGCCAGTGCCAGAGGTATCTGGCTGCAGAGGGCAGAGCTGACCACAGCACACCATGCCACATCCCTCCCAAGTGCCCCCAGCAGTGGGCGGGGCACTGCAGCCAGCCCAGGCTGTGGGGTGAGGATGGCGGCAAAGAGGGCTCACAGGTAGGATGGTGGGAGGCTGAGGGACACCACAGGACTGAGACCCCAGTGGTGGTTTATCTCTGGATGACGTGGGGTACAGGGAAGGAGCCTCCCAGTGTAGACAAGAATCCTGAGGCCACAGGTCACCTGAGAGACCCTTAGCTCGTTGGCAGCCTGGGATCTGGTGTTTGTCTTTTTATTCCCAAAAGCTTTGCTTTTGTGATGCAAGTGGTGAAGAGCACTTGACATAGCAGACAGTTATACAGTCCTCTGGAACTAAGAAAAATCAATAATCACTAGGTTAAAACAGTAATTTTAAGAGCTGGGCCACTCTCCCAGCCTGAGCCAGCGTGGGGCAGGAGTGTGGGCTGGTAGAGTGGGCACCCTGCCCAGGTACCCAAACACCCACCACACACCATCGTGAGAAGAGCCCAGGCAGGGCGTCGCTGCTGCAGCCCCAGGGGAGCGTGGTCCCAGGCACTGGTGGCCAATGCTGAGCCTGCTTCCCAGGAGGCATCGTTTCACCTTTAAGGAGTCTGTGGTTGCAGTGAGCACACACACTTCCCATTATTAAAGTTAGTCGCTCACCCACCCCAAGAATGTGTGATTTAAAATACTAGAATTTATCTATGAAAGTGCATCAACCACGTTAGCCACCGGGCAAGAGGCCTTAGATTTTACCAAATGGAATTCATCCAGTATTCACTTTGCTCATACGGACACTTGGTTTGCAATGAGAAAGAAGGCAAGCAGAGGGCTCAATGTGGAAATAGTTTTATTTTTTATTAAAGCTTATAGATTCTTCGAACTATATGAATAAATATATAGCTGTGAAAACATCTCATTAAAATAAACAGATCTCCAGAAATTTTATCTGCAATAAACAAATTATAGTACCTGAAGAACCTATGTAAATAATCTATTTTGCATAGATTTCAAATACTCACTATGAACATACTTGAGCTCGTGTGGCGTGTGGAAATATGCTACAAATTATAAAAATTTCTGCCAACAGGGAGACTACGGGTGGGCAGGGAGGATCGTTTCTTCCTGCCACAAAGTTCTGCTTCCACTCTGGAACAAAGAGGGCCGCGTGGGCAGAGCAGAGACTTCCTTCCCATGCCTGCGATGCAGCAGGCTATGAGGCCCAGCTCCCGGGAGCAGGGGCCGGGGAGACCCCTCCAGATCAACCTGAGAAGTTCTGAAAGACGCTGGCCGCCTCCACCCAGTTCTGGAAGCAGGCCAGCCCCCGCTCCCGAATCTGCTTCCGCCCCTTGTCGGTGATGACCTCCCCGCTCTGCTTCACCACCACCAGCTTGGGGATGGCCGTGATGTTGTACCTGCTCCTCAGCTCACTGTGGAGAGAAGAGGGAGGCCGAGGGTGAGCACAAACAGGACCGGCCGCCCCTACGAAAGGGCCGGGTCTCCTTCGTGCTAGCCCTACAAGGTCCTGGACGCAGCCAGCTACCTCCTGTGCAAGGAGATCCCTTCGAGACTTTCCTCTGGCTGCCACCCAACCTAAGCCAGAGCCATCGGAGATGTGTCCACAGTGAAGGAACCGCCCTGTATTTGTGCTGCCCAGTGCCAGCCACACAGCCATGGGAACCACTGAGCTACTGAGATGTGGTGGGTGTGCTTGAGGCACTGAATGCTTCACTGTAATTAACTTTAAGTAGACACAAGTACCTAATGGCCCCTGTACTGGACATTGTGATTCTAAACCTGAAATAACCCCATAAATGTCCCGCCCTGCATCTCAAGTGAATGGAAAATACCGAGGACAATATAGCTGTCACTCAGTACCAGCGGGGGGGGGGGGGGGGCTGGTTTCCAGGACCCCTGTTGATAGCAAAATCTGAGGATGCTCAAGTCCCCAAAAGGAGCACCCCACAGAGGCCACCACTGCAGCTTCCGCAGATGGCCCAGAAGGTCCAACCACTCCCCATATGCAATGACCACCCACAGTGAAAAGGACGCCCAGGGATGGCCCTGTGGAGAGGCAAGTCCCTCCCCAGGTAAGCATCCTGCTCACCCCCTAAAATCTGAAACACCTAAGGATTTCACTTTCCCCTAATGCTGAAAACAAAAAAAAATGAGGACAAAGGAAACAGCCCGTGTCACTCTGCACAGAGTGTGTTCAGCATCACTGGCAGTGCGCCGCAAAGCAATCATTACTGAGCCTTTGCACTAGGCAGCTGGGGGTCCGCAAGCCCCCTTGTTCTTGGGATTTTGCTTGAAGCCCAAAGTTGCTGCCGGTTAAGCTAATGTAGAGTCAGGCAGGGAGTCACTCACCAGGACAAGAGTCTTGGTATGAGGGTGTCTGCTGAAAACAGCAGGCAGACATTATGGTCAAATCAGCATAACCAGCTGCACCACCTTGACAGGAACTAGAATAGGATGTTTCCAGCAGCGGCAATGGAGCCCCCAAGCAACAGCCCAGATTCCCGCCTCCCCCTCCCCCCCAACCCAGGCTGCTTGTGCCAGACTATTATGCACCCCCATACGCAGCCCCACCAGTACATTCCTCACATTCCCCACGGACTTGCCACCTTCCTTGAATCTGATACCAAATAAATGCGAGGCTGGCCCAGAAATCGGGGCTGTATCTCCAGGGATGTAGCCCCTGGTGGCTTCTCTCCCTTTCTCATGACTTGGACTTTGAGTTATTCTTCCTCTGTCCCACGCTGCCCCCAAGGTTGCCACCCCACAAGGGGCCAGGCAGCCATGAGGGGCAAGCAGTGCCCGCCCCTCAGTAAAAGGAGTTGTGGGCCCTCCCTGGTGGCGCAGCGGGTTAAAGCACAGCACTGAGAATCTAAAGCCGCTTCTGCATGAGTTCGATTCCCGCCCACCCTGGAGTTGACCACATGGCATGGCAGACCTCTCCTGACCCGCCCGCTGCTCCCCTCAGCAGTGTGCTTCGTCAATCTGCCTGTTCTGTTCCCCACTCTGTCTCTGGTGAATCCTCTCACCACACCTGAGCCTCTGGCCTGTACCCCAGTTCTGTATGCACAAATAAATAAATCTTTAAAAAAAAAAAAAAAAGGAGTTGTGGTCCTTCAGTTGGGGCTCTGCCATGCAGGAGGCCCTTGAGGGCTCCGGGAGGGGTCTCTGGTGGCACTCACACACATCCCTGAGCCCACCGGGCTCCTGGCAGATTCCCACCTCCCCCTGGCAGCTGCCTGGCCCAAGGACCAGGTGTGAGCAGTAGTGTAAGGTAAAGCAAGGGCCTTCGGGTGTGGAAGGGGACCCTGGACCAGTAAGAGCAGCAGCAGGAGTATCCCCAGAGCTCATCAGACAAGCAGCCTCCTTCCCCATCTGTGGAGCTGTAAACACCTCGGGACTAATGTTCACTGGCGTGTGCACCCTGCTCCCTCAGACTGCCTGTACCCTCCAGGAATGAGGAGCAGAGAGAGCAGCCAGAAGGGAAGGTCTGCGGACACCTGGGGCAATGAGGGCCCAGGGTGGCTGCTACATCCATGACCCTCCTTGCAAACCAGCCCCCACCCCCTCTTTCTGATAGTCACTAGTGGTGAATGACCGCCCACCAGTTTCCTCACCTACACCAATAACTAAAAGGACTTCCTGTGATTGTTGTAAGGGCCCTCCCTGGTGGTGCAGCGAGTGAAAGCACGGCACTAAGAAGCCAAAGCCACTGCAGCATGAGTTCGATCCCCGCCTGCCCCAGAGGTGACCACATGGTGCAGCAGACCTCTCCTGACCCGCCCGCTGCTCCCCTCAGCAGTGTACTTCGTCAGTCGGCCTGTTCTGCTTCCCACTCTGTCTTTGGTGAATCCTCTCACCATCCCTTCACCTCAGGCCTGTCCCCCAGTTCTGTATGCATAAATAAATAAATCTTAAAAAATAATAATAATAATTAAATGACTAATATATGTACAGATTAGTTAAGCACTTGGCAACAAGTAACCAAAAATACTGGCTTTCTTGTTACTGGGAGGGAGCCACCCCAAATCCTGTCATCACAGTTTCTGAAAGTACAAGACTCCCCGGAGAACGAGCTTCTGTGATGAATTTGGATGGCCCGAGCACAGCGACCACTCTGTCACACCATGAGGGCCACGGCCTGAGCATGAAGCAGACATGGCAGAATGCAAGGCCAAGAAACTGTCCCTTGTCTCCCTCAAAACCAGCTCCCGGCCACGGGGTGAGTCTGGTAGGCGCGTCAGTAGCCTTTATTGTTTACATACTGAGTTGCTGTTGGCAAAATCACTTGCAGCATTAAGTCAAGCTCTGGGGGGGTGAGGGGGAGATGCCAGCTAGAGGGGCGTTGAGGGGGGAGGAGGTTGAGCTCGTTTCTTCTTCGCTCCAGTGTGTCTTCCAAGAGCCACACCATGGGGGAGCGCAATTCCCCACCCTGGCAGCCTCTGCCTGGGGACTCCTGTCACCTTGGAGCTGCAGACTCCCTGAAGTCACCTCCACCCCTGTGGGTGCTGAGCTGAAGGTGAGGGCCCTGTCACTGGGCGCAATGAAAGTCCCCAGAACTGCAATCCTGTTAACCATTTCGGGGAAATCTGAGACCCTGGGTCCCCCTCACGCTCCCCACTTGGTGCTTGTGATGCTGGCTCCTCCCTTCACTTGGGGCAGCAAGTCCTCGTCCTTGGCACAGGCTCTTCTGGGTTGCCATGGCAACTTCTGGCTCCAATCTCTCCATCTCAGCAAAGACTGCTCCTGAGCAAACCTTCCTACTTGTGTCAACCATGCACCAGGCTTCCCGCTGGTGCCCAAACCCTGAACAATGTGTGTTCCAAACTTAGGGACTGCCAAGACCCCCAAACACACATCCCTACTCTGGGGGGGCATCTGGGCTGTGGTTATGGTGGGTCAGAGATGCAATGGGCATCCCAGGGGCATGGAGGAGGATCTGGAGGAGGAGCTGCCCAGCAGAGAAGCGGGGCCTCCAGGGCAGGGATGGAGCACGTGTGTGGTCCCCTTCAGACTCATGCAAGTGTATGGAGTATACTGGAACATGATGGAAAGGGGGTAGCCAGAGACTAGGATGAGAGGCCAGTGTGGGACAAATGCTGGCTTGAGAGGTGGAGGTAGATCGGGCCTGAGCCCTGGGGGCTACAGTGGCCACTGGAGAGCTGAGGACTTGTCCTTGATGAGAAGGGGAAAGTTCAGGAATGAAGGGGAATGTTCAGCACTTCATGGTGGCACTGGGGCCCAGGCATAGCTGGAATATGCTAATGGTCCTGGCGCCCATGAAGGAGGTAGCCATGAGTAGGCAACTGGAGGCCCACAGATTCAGCGGATGCAATGCCTGAACAGGACTGTCAGGTCACAAGGCTCAGGGGGAACACTGGCTGGAGAGAGGGAAAGTGCGAAGTTTAGCACACACAGGCCTCGGCGCCCCTGGGGACCTTCTCTGCACAAGAAGCGAAGATGTGCCAGTTCACTGCCATCAACTGAACCTGATGCCCAGAGGTTGAGGAGCTCCAACAGCATGGCCCTTGGGGGTAGGGTGGTCAGAGCCAGGCAGGCAGGAGGGTCTCTCTCCAGGCATCCTTAGGCCTTGCCAGGGTTCCAGAGCCCAAGTGGGCACAAGTTGTTAAAAAGCTGCCATAATACCATGTGTGTCATCACCTCGGAGACTCACAAGCTCAGCAGCAGCGCAGAAATGCCTTGATTCTAGACCCAGTAACAGAGGAAGGGTAGGTGGGCAGGGGGCAACTCATCTGGGCTGTGCCACACTTGGGCCCTCCACAGCCCCCACACACGCACCTGGACAGGGAGCAGGGAGCTGGGGTGCCCGCTCCACCTCTAGTTTCAAGGACATCAGCAAACATCTGCCTTCCCAGGCGGAAGGCACCTTGTCACTGCCTTGCGTGGGGGAGGCACCAGAAACTCAAGATCTCTGCAACCTGAAGGACAGGTGAGTGGCTCTGGGTACTTCCTGCACACCACTGCCTCTTGCCTTGCCCAGGGAAACACTGGGAGCTTCCACACAGTAGCTCCCCAAGCATCTGTTTCTCCTCTCCAGGCTCATGAAGGCCAGCAGGAATCCAGTGGTAGTGGATGATGGGAAGGCGCTTTCCAGCCACTGCAGAGGCACCAAGCAGTCAGTTTCTGGACACAGTAGGAACATCCTAAAAGGCTGTCTGGGTGCTTCCTACATCCCATAGTTCTTGGGATGATCTAGTCCATGGATCTAGGCTGGGATAAATAGAATTTAGGGCATAGTTCCAAGAATTCCCACAGAAGAGCCCATTCCCTAACTTATGAATAGCAATGACAAGGTTAATGGGATTCCATCCAGAGAGGAGGAAGGATGAGAAGTGAACTTCCCTCCAGAAAACCCTACAATGGATTCCTCAGCAGAACAGCACACCTGAGCCTCTGCACCTGAGCCAGCACACCTGGCCTCTGCACCTCTGTACACATCTGGGAAAGAGGACAGAGACAAAACCCTGACCCCAGGTCCGTGGACATGACTCCCACCCCTCCCCTCAGTGCCATCCTTATCCAGCATCTCACACTCGGTATTAACCACCTATGTAACTGCAGGGTGAATTCCAGAGCAAACCCCAGGGCGGGCTCTGCCCAGGACTGAGATCCGGGCCTGATTAAAACAGGGCCAGCCTTCACTTTCAAAACTAAGTGCGCCTTTCAAAAGCTGTGTCACAAGGGCTAAGGAAATCAAAACTCATTTTTCAGCTACCACTGGACATGACACTGTATGGAGCCCTGTTACCACACAGGCACGGTCACTCAGATTAACCTTAGTAAGTCCTCCCCAGGTCAGGCCAAGGGAGAGAGCAAAGCAGGTGGCCGCTCCCAGGGCCTGGCCTCTTCCCTCAGCATCACCCAGAGGAGAAAATTTCATGCAGAGAAGACTCACTCTTCCAGTGAACGCCCCCAAATCAGCTTCCAATCTTAATTTTCCAGAACGAAAGTTGTGTCCAAATAATAAATTGGGGAGAGGGGTGGGCAATAGAGATAATGCCACAATTCCCTCTAGAAAAAGGCGGTGGGTGCTCCCTGTAAATCAGAAATTGGCCTTTGATTGTGAGGGGTGGGGCGGAATAATGTGCCTTGTAACTTAAACTGAAATCTGGACATCCTCCCTAGCATGCCACAGTCAGAGCCCAGCCACACTCCTGCTCCGCCAGTCCTCCCTGGGGTCCTCCCACACCTCCCTGCCCCCCACACTCCTGCTCACCCAGTCCTCCCTGAAGTTCTCCCACACCTGCCCGCCACATGTCCCTGCTTTTTCCTCTTGCATTGCCTCCTCCCCATGCCCTCCCTCCTCTCACCTCTTTCCTCTTTACCCCATATCCCCCCTCCCCTTCCCTCCTTCCATCTTCAGCCTCTTCCTCCCGCAGGCTCCCTCTTCACCTTCCTCAACCTCCTGGTCACTCCCATATCCTCCTTCCTCACCCTGCACCCCTTTCCCTTCTTCTTCCCACCTTCTCCCTTCCTCCCTCTTGAACCCCTGCAGTTAGTAAAACACTTGGGTCAATTTCTCATTCATTTACAAACTCCAAAATCCAAGGGAGCTGAAGCTACAGAGCTGAGGGTCCTGCCATGTCAGGTTTTTCTAAAGCAAGGGAGGAGACCCCTTAGGGAGAAAGGACTTTTGTCTCTACAAAAGTCCAGACCTGGATCTTCCTACATTTATAAGAGCACAAAAAGACGTTATAGTTAAGAAATTCCAGTCACTGCCAGCATAAATTAAGCTGCAATGGTGGTCAACCAGTGTCTGGGGTCTTCCAGCGCTGGGGACCTGCCCCTTCCTCCCAGCATGTAAGCCCAGTTCTTCACCTGCCAGCCCAGGTGAGCACTCAGGGCCTCCTGAGACTCCCAACCCTGCTTTGCAGACTCCAGGGCAGGGTCTTCCCTGTGCCTCACCCCAGACACTAAGCCCAAAGGAGGAAACCAAGGGGTGGACTTCCCCTCTCCCCCCAGACTGTAGGTTCACAGAAGGCAGCGCCACCATTAGCAGAGCCGCTTGGAAATGCAGGCTCCTGGAGTCAGAGATCACCCATGCAGGGAGCAGTGTCGGGGCTCACCAGCGGGCCTGCAGAGACTCTGGGAATGCAGGTGACTCCCGGCCCACCAACTCCCAGAGCCTCCCCCGGGAAGATGAAGAGACTACTGCGTGCCTGGCTGGGGTGGGAGACCTCCCGAGCCAGAGACGCGGGACAGCCCCCAGTCCCCACTCACTGCCGGTAGGGGTCGTGGAAGGGCAGCGCGAGCCAGGCGCCATGCAGCTCGCGCATGAAGTCCAGCATCTCCTGCGCGCTGCTGTCCGCTGACACGAAGACCACCTCGAAGGGCGCTGGCGGCCGCGCCTCCTCTACCAGCGCGGCGTAGAAGTCGCAGAGCAGCGGCGTGAAGTCGCGAGACGGCGCGCACCGGCCGGCCGCGAAGTACAGCGCCACCACCTTATTCTGCAGCGCCGCTTCCGCCTCTACCGACGTGCCGTCACGGGTCACCAGGTGCCGCCCACCCAACACGTCCACCATGGCCGGGCGGGGCTCGAGGACACCTGCAGGGGACGGTAGCCTGCGGGTAAACGGGGTGGGAGGGTGTGAAGGGCGCGGTCGCAGGGACACCTCGGGGAGTAGGGGAGCCGTTCGAGAGTGGCTGTGAGCTCGGCACAAGGGAACCTCTGGGGGAGCGACCCCCGCGGGGTGATAAGGCAGCAGTGAACGCAGGCGCGGGGACACTTGCGAAGGAGACACCTGCGGGAGATGACTCCTACAGGCAAGCGGTGATCGCGGGGCTCCCTCCGCACCACCGAGCGCCGGGGAGATGCAGGGCTTGGGCCACAAAGGGTGGGCCAAAGCTTGGGCAAAGCCTGTCCGTACCGGGGGTCGGGAGACAGACACCGGTGATCCCAGATGCAGCGGCCGCGGACCTAGTGCTGCACCGGGCCGGGAGCCACCGCGCAGGGCCACGCCCACCGCCACGCCCACCCGGGCCCCGGGCCACGCCCACGCCCTCCCCTGTGGCGCTTCCACCTTCCACCCACCCAAGCGGGCTCCTTCCCTACAGCCGTCCTGCAGGGCACACCTCCCGGGCTAGCTTCTCCCCCGGCTTGCGCTTGCCCTCAGCGCAGAGCTTCGCTCCGCCCCGCCCCACCTGTGCAAACCTCGCCCGACTCCTCGCCTTGACAGGCGCTCCCTACAGGGTGCTCGGCCCCCAGGTTACTCCCAACTCCCTCCCACCCGCCCAGGGTCTGGTCATCCTGCCCCGGGTGTCTTGCCGCCAACTCCCTAACAAACCCTCGATTGGAAGTGTAATAAACAGAAGGGAAAGGAGGGACGGGTAAGGGTGAGCATCCGCGGACGACGGGGAGACCTGCGCTCCAGCCTGTCTGGGAAGGTCTCTGGAATCTTGGGGGAAATTGAAGGCGTTTCTTTTAGAGCGTTTAATTTGGAGGGCCAGTATATTCTTGTGCCAGAACTATTCCGAGGGCCTGGGATTCCGTTCTAGTTCAGCTCCCTGCCTCCCTGCCTGGGTCGTTGGGCGTACGGCCAGGGAGCACCGCGTGAGCGCAGAATTTAAGAGAAGTAGTGTTCAAAAAATCCTAATATTCGAATGCTGAATTTTAAAAATTCAAAATGAATGGGAAAAAAGTTGACGATGAACAAAGAAATAACGCAAATGAGAAAAATGAGGACGGGGACACACGCCGCCCTCGGACGCCCACTTCGGCCTCCGGCCCTCCCTAGCTCCTCCCAGCCTCCTGCCCTCGGGAGGTTAGAGAGAGGAACCGTGGATGAGGAAACAAGCGTGTATGCTGTGGCGAGGAAGGAAGGTGGCAGGTGGCGCGACTTACATGGGGCGGGGGGAGGGGGACGCGGGCGCGTCTGGGAGGTGGCGTGCGTGCTCGCTGGCTCCCGGCGCCTCCTTCTTCCCCTTTCAAGAAAGGATCGCGCCGACTACAGTCTTTAGCAGTGCTCCCCGCCCTGGCTGGGATGGAAGCGAATTCTGTTGCTGGAGTAACGCTGTTCAGGCAGCGCGTTGCCAAAGTTTCACTTCACTGTCCTCTTGAACGTTTAGGGGGATTTGTAGAATTGGAGAGACAAAAAAAAATTGAGAGTTGGGAAGCAGTATAAATCTTACATGCAAAGGCCCTTGATTGGTCCAAACTCAGAAATAAGAGGAGTAGAATGTAGTTAAACTCTAAATATCAAGACTGTATTTTGGTCTTTTTTTGGCTTTTTCACCCCCTTATTACAGCAGTAAACAAAGTAGAGAATATTCCTTTGGGTGCGTGATGGTGAGAATTCCCAATGATTTTTATTAACACTATCTGTCCATGTGTGCAGGGGAGGGGAGAGGGGTGTCCCTGTTCTGGAACAGCAGCCCAGAGAGATGGTGACTCAAAAGAACACCCTCCAAGAAGACAGGAGGACCAGGCGGTGAGTGGTGAGGCCGGTGGAACATAGTGGATGGGCTGGGTAGGCATCCTCCTCACAAGGACCCTCCTCCCGTGGTCTGGAAAGTTAAGGGGGCCCTTGCCCTCCTGGACCTCTCAAACTAGGCTGATGTCATGCCCAGCGTCTTCAAAGCCCTTTCTGCTGCCTGGGTGCTGTCATTCCCAATTCCATTCCACTGGTGGCTCCTTAAGGAGCGGGTCAGACGTCAGAGCAGTTTGAAGTCCAGCACCCTGTCCTGCTCCTGCTGCAACCAAGTCTGCATGCTTCCTGGATACAGGATCAGGTAAGTCCCAGCTGATGCACATTACTCATGCTTCCTTCTTGGGCATCTGCTTTATACCAGGAATAGTCACAGCCTCTCTGGGCAGAGCTGGGCCCCACAAGGATCTCCAGAGAGCTGCCCTCCCTCCCCAAGACTCCTCTCCTTAAGCCCTGCCAAGTCTGTACTGAGATTTATTCTAACCTGGCACCCATTCCCCACCTCGGTTAAGGGCAGTGGTCTCTACTTTTCCTTCTAGTATTTTGGTTCTGGTGTACTCTACTTGACCAAAATTGGGTTCTTATGAGATGACCACTCATGGTCAACTATGACCTGTTTGCTATGTGCAAATGACAGTAGAGCATTCCTTGACTGCCTACAGAATCTAGCCCGTATGATGAGGCAGGCCCGGGGACGCCTAGGCCACTGTGGACCTGATTAGATGACTGTCTCCATGGTGGTCTTGGGAAACTCTGCCTGTGATGACATCAACACATAAGCTTTGCCGATGCAAATGTTTCTGATATATGGCCCCAATGACCCCTTGTCTGTTCCTCATAAGCCTTTGGTCCCCTGGCCCCCAGACCCTGTTCCTCATACCACAGCCTGCACTAGCCTGTGTGCTTCCCATAACGTCTGCTCAAGCAGAACAGCCTCGCAAACCTGCTCCAAGACTGTTGTGGCCCCCATCACATTCCTGTTGCAACAAGCCCTCTTCTCGATTTGTCCTTGGACCCCATCTTCATCCTGTAAAGATTCCTGCGAAGTTATTTCCCTCCCTTGAAGATATCCCCCTTGCCTGCCCTCAGTAAACTCACTAAATCGACTTAGCAGAGTTCCTTACCGTAGATATCTCTTCTTAGTGGTTTTCCAACCACCTGCCCTTGGCCAGGAATCGCAGATTTTCTTGAGTTTGGAGTTGAGCTCAGCTCTTTGGCCTACTGTAACAACACTGAATAAAACCAATCACCTGTACCAAGTGTCTTTCTCTTGGCTGACACCTTGGTTGGTTACCTGCCATGACACAGGCTGAAGGGCATGATGTCTCAGAGCTCACATGTTGGCCAAGCACACGAGCCTCTCCAGGCAGGATCACCACATGAACAGGCTGTTCCTTGTTCATCAAGCAAACTTGCCCGTCTGAAGGGGGAATCTCTCAAGGCCTGGCCAGTGGCCCAGTCAGCCCTGCCTGTCATACCACTGCCTAGTTCTCCAGGCAGCAGGAGGAGCACGTGAAGAAAATGGCCCCTGGACTTCTCGATGTGAAACTGACAGCTTCTTTTCATCTCCAAGATGTGTATATAATGATCTATTTTATTCTACAACCATTTGTGACAAATGGTTATACAAATACGCCTGAATGAATTAGCCATCCCAGTGTGCAAATATCAACATCTTGAATGTCCTGGCTTTAAGTATTTGTTTCCCCACTTAAACATTTGTCCCTAGGGACTTATCAGGTCTTCATGACTTGTTTTCCATAGTAGTAGTTGGCCCATTGAGAAAGGTGCCAAAGTGACAAATAGAAGCCAGGCATTGTAGGTGGTAAGCAGGGTCAAGGGTTATGTCAACTCAATAAGCCCATGTTCAAAACAACCAAAACATGATGGTGGCAGGTGAAGGAAGCACTCTGTGGTTCCGCCAGCTTCTTCCATTGATGCTAGAAGATTCTAGAAGCAGCTGGTTGCTTCTACAGCTGGAAGAGTGTTAAGTGCAGGGGTAGAGAAGCCCACAGCATGTCTGTCACCTCCAGTTGTCCTCCAAGGGGGCCCAGCCTGAACAGCTTAAACAGAAAGATTTTCTGTCTTGGAGGCTGTAAATCCAAGATCAAGGGTTAGCTGCTGGTTTTAAAGAGCCATTGAGCACAGATTAATCCCTCACAAAATTAAAAAGAACAGATTACAGGTTTCATGGCAGTTTTTATTGTGGATCAGGCAGTGAGGGTAGGAGCAGCAACTGCCCTGAGCCAAGCTCCCCAGTGAGGTGAGGGGAGGGCGAGGGGGAGGGAGGGTAACTGTTCGCTGGGGTTTGGTAAGCAGGGTGCTGAATGGACTCCAAGGTTTGCTACTTCCCAGCACCTTTAAGCACCCACAGGTACCCATCTGGTCTCTTGTGTGACCTCTCGCTATGAGGGTGGGAGCTTCCGGCTGATGAGGTTTTTTCTTCCTGGCTTGTAGATGCCAACCGTATCTGTGCTCACAGGGAGCAGGGTCGGTTGGGGGCATCGAACACCTACAAGGTGGGAGGGCTTTGACCCCTTCTCACAAAGGCCTTGATCTTACTGGATTAGAGCCCCACCACCATGACCTCGTGGGATATTACGATTTAGAATAAGGAATTTGGTCTTCATTTTGGTTCTGCCACAAAGATGCTAAAACCCATCAAATTTTCTGTGATGAAATAAAGGAGTTAATGAGTGACTTTGGAAGCAACTGAGGTTGGGCTGTGCACCAGAGAACCAACCATGTGACCAGGGAGCTGGAAGTTTCAGTCCCACCCCCTGGCCTCTCAGGAGAGGAACTAAACTCCAAAGCAAGTAACTTAAGCACGACTGAAGGTTCCTGCGCTGTAACGAAGCCTCCATGACAATGCAAAAGGACAGGGTGCAGGTTCCAGTTTGGCCAACATATGGAGATTTAGGGAGAACGGGGCAGGTGGACAGAGCATGGAGCTCCCTGCCCCTTCCCACATGCCTTGCCCTGTGCACCTCCCTTTGGCTGTTCCTAAACATCCCTTATGGCAAACTGGCAATCCACCCAGTTCTCAGGGCCTGATGAAGGGGCTCTGGGAGTGGCGGGACAAAGGATGTTAGGACACCAGCTGCAAAGTCAAAAACCAGGAGCCCTACAGAACAGGAAATAGAACTGGTAACCCGAGTGGCCAGCAACTGACAGAGACCACTGAAGTGGTCTCTAGGTCTTGAACTCATACCCTTGGCCCAAGTCCTGAGGCTAGGAAGATCCTTCTTTTGTTTTAAATATTTACTTACATATGCATACAAGAACTGGGGTGTAGGCCAGATGTGTGGAAAGGTGAGAGGATTCAGTGGGCTAGACAGGTGAGGTCTGTTGAGGGGAGTAGTGGGCGAAAACAGGTGAGGTCTGCCCGAGCCATGTGGATCAGCTCCCTGGCTGGGATCAAACTCTTGCAGCAGCCGCTGGTGATAGCTTGCTAGCATTGAGACTTTAACCCTACACCACCAGAGAGGCCCATGGAAGACCCTCATTTCATTATTCTTCCAACTCGCAAAGTCAGTTCTATGGAAGAACATGACCAGTCCTTTTAGTTGCTGTATTAACAGTGTTAATACAGCTGTTAACTGCTCCCAGGTTCTTTCTTATAGAAAAGCACATTTAGTTGTGTTATACCTTTAAAAATACAGATTGATTGTATGTGGTTACCTTTGTCAGTTTTCTCCTACCAATCCTCTTATGTTAACCTGTGTTTGTCTTACTCCTCTGTTTAGTTCATCACTACCTGTCATGTCCCCAATACTGTCTGCACCCAGCTTTGCCCTTCCTTTGGGCTTATTTTCTTATGTTGAAAATTTATCAATTTTCAATCATTATTCCCTTATATATGAAATGGGCACTAAGAATTAAGTACAGCATTGAGAGTTCATAAATGCTGTTGGGAAAATGTTTTTCTCTTACTTCAAAATTGGTAATGTTTATACTGAATTCTTTTACTCCTGTCTTAAGAAGTATCAACTGGTTTTAGCACTGTGACACCCGACCCCTACTTTTGTCACCCCATGACCAAGTGTGGCTGTAAGACCTCTCGTGAGGTCTGAGATCGACTCAGGGGCCTGATGCACTTAGTGTGTGGCCTGGGAGGAGACCAATATACCATTTAAGCCCACAGGTGCAAGAATACAAGCTTATTAACTTCATTGTTCAAAGTAATTTCCTTTATTAGTGTCTTAATTTCCATTTGACAAATCCCGTTTCCCACTGAAGCAGGTTGCATTTCCCACTGTGATCGCTGACCTGTCCATCTCCTTGTACCACGCCCCCTTGTCTTGAGGGAACACTAGATGCACACTGAAATCAATAGTCTTTCCAAGGTCCTCTTTGTCATCGCCAAGTCAGTCATCACTTTAGTCCCTCATTGTCTCTCTGCTTTCTACCTTAAGGAATTAATCTGATCTTCCAACAGTGTGGATCTGCTAATCCTAAGTGGTCTATACTCCTCCATTTTGTTACCTACAGTTCTGTATTCCTAAAGCAAGGTCAGAACCACCTGGCCACAGGAGCCCAACCCTACGAGGTGCCTTTTGCATCAATTAAGAGCATAAAGCTGGATGGCCCTGGGAAGGATGTCCATCACGAGGTATGACCGGGCACACCTGGGGGTGTGATGACTGATGTATAACGAAGGACCCCAAAAGCCAATCAGTGAAACACCTTGTTGGTAAGATTGAAATCCCAGGGAGTCAGGGCTCGAGCCACGAAAAAAGCTATCAGCAGATGAGAAGTTCAGTTCCACCGTTCCCCGTCTCCTCTGCTGCTTCCCCATATGACTAACACTGTAAGGCCAGTTTACCATCAAAATGGCAGGGTCTTGCTCTTTGAGCAGCTTCCTGCATATGCAGCCTCCTCCTTGGCTTGTTTCTTCATCAATGCGGTGTTGCCCGTCTAACATAACAGCTGTGCCATCTCTTCTTGGATAGTATTTTTTACTTTGAATTTTTAATTATTGTGGCATGTCTTAGTTGCTTATTTTGCAAACAATGGAACCTGAGTTTCTTATCCAACCTTAGAATTTCCCTCTTTTAAGAAAGTTTCCAGTTTGGACTCACTCACTGCTCAGGGTGTACTAGGGTTATTTCTACCACCTTACTCCGCACTGTTCACTGCGGTGACGGCAGTCCAGACTGCGTGTGCTCCCGGCTCCCCACCAGTTTGGGCACTTCAGGATCTCCTTGCTTTTCTGTAAGCTCTGCGGTGTATTTTTCATTTGATTTTTGTCTTAACTAGCTGTGAAAGTGCTTTCAAGGAGGGGGTTTCTATGTGATAGAGAAATACGTTTTTTCCTGAAAATGTCCTTTTCTCCCTCCTTATGAAGAGGAAGTATGTTTCAAGGAGTTATCCCCACCAGGTCAGAACACTGGTGTCCTTCACAGCCCCAGGGTGCGTTCAGTGCCGTGGCCCCTAACAACAACAGACACTGGGCACTGCCGTCTTCCTCCTGAGACACCACTAATGCCTGTTTCACCTCCAAGCCAACACAAATAGAACACCTGGATTTTATTAAAAGTATTTAAAAGACCTACTGGCACATTGTTAGTTTTCTCACGAAAGATATCTCTGGTTGTTTCATCATTTCACACGCCAATCAGAATTTCAAGTGTCATTGTCATCACTCTTGGTAATTAAAAGACTGGTACTGAAAATAGGCATACTATTTTCCTATCTCTTAACATTGTGAGATCTTGTATATGATTTTTAAAAAATATTTATTTGTGCATACAGAGCTGGGGTACAGCCAGAGGTGCAGGGGCAGCCAGAGGATTCACCAGAGACAAAGTAGGGAGCAGAACAGGCAGATCGACAAAGTACACTGCGGAGGGGAGCAGCGGGCGGGTCAGGAGAGGTCTGCTGCACCAGGTGGGTCACCTCCGGGGCAGGGATCGAAACCACACTGAAGACACCACAGCTAGGCTTAGCTTTGCAGTGCGGCGCTCCAACCCCCTGTGCTATCAGGGAGGGCCCCTGTGTATGATTCTTTCCTATATAGGAGAGACCTCCTTCAGCAAGGTTCTTCTGTGGGGTAAGCACCGAGCTCTATGACCAACACCTTTCTGTGCCAATACATGAATGTTTAGGTCAATGCCTGCATACATGCACAGAATCAAGAGAAACAAGCCCTTGGCTGTCACATTAACAGGCAAAGCCAGCAGCAGCAGGATTGTGCACTGCATGGGCCAGAGGGAACATGGCTCACACATGTGCGTG